ACAAGTTGATTTATTGTACTTATTGAATGCGACAACTTGAGTTTATTGCATCAGTGTGATGATGCGATRAGKTGTAGTCCTCRCACCAGTGTGTTGCGAGGAAATGATATTGTCTCATCATGTCATGMGAGAAGTTATATGATGCAAGAAGTTTTATAAATGAGGTTCATTATAGCAAAGTGATGTATATTTGTTATTTTACAAATATGAGTTTATAAATGTAATTTGGTGATTATAAATGTGAAACTAATACTATATTGTTCACATCAACACTATTGCATTGATTCACACAATGAAACATCACCTTTGTCTTTCATGTCAACGCCTGTTTGTGTTTGTAGGGGTGCTTATGGGTTGGGTTGATCGGGTTGAATACATTTTAACAACCCAACCCAATGCTTGTGGTTTAAAAAATCTTAACCCAACCCAACCCAAACGAAAGTGCAACCCAACCCAAACCGTACGGGTTGGTCGGGTTGATACTTTTGTACATTAAAATATTGTTCTAACCTTGTATATTTTATTTCTCTACTCATAATTTCTTTTTCATCATCAACCATTTGATACAACTTATCCATACTTCTTACGTATATCACATTCAATTAATTTTCTCAATTTACGTATATATGTTTACAGTTATTGAACTAGAGATGTGAATAAATTGAAAAGATGTGTATATAAATWGTGTACGTGATAGTGTAATTGTTTAGTATATATTAATAAAAATTCAACAATCATATTAAATCCAAGAAATAAATGAATATCGGGTTCATCGGGTTGGGTTGGGTTCAAATAATAATAACCCAATATCTACGGTTTGAAAATTTTACAACTCGATTAGAGTAGCTTCAGGTTAAGTTATTTTGCGTTGGGTTGGATTGGGTTGATCGGATTGATCGGGTTGTTCGGGTTTTTGAGCACCCCTACCTGTTTCATATTGTGAAACAATATGAAATTCTTTCGCTATTTAAAACAACACACTTCAGTAACAAATTCACGTGTTGTTCACATAAGTTGCACTAACACCAGAAAACAACACTTCAACCTTCAAATTGACTACACATACCATCTTATATCTTTTTCATCATAGCGACCCATAACGGATCGGACCCAGAATTTTTTTTAAACGGTGGCACCATTTGACCATAAGAAAAAAAATATAGAATTTTTTTTCTTCAAACGGTGGCACCGTTTGACTAAAAAAATGACACTAACATGATTTGGACTTGGGTGTGAAGTGGAATAAAAATCTTGCAAACCAACTCTACCAAATAAAACTTGTTCTCATTGTAGTTTCAAAATACATACGATGGCACACAACAAATTAATACGGTTGCGCCGTTCACGAAACCTAAATTTTTTACCTTTCGACGGAGAAATGATACAGTGGCACGTGCCACCCTTGGCACTTAACTAAGTCCGCCTACGACCCAGAGGTGTGTCGATGGTGTAGCCTTGTAGATGACTTGTTGATAATATTTGCTTCTCGGTTCAAATCTTGTTGATTACAATTTTTTTTTAACTTTTTTGTTTAATTTAATAGTATAATTTTTCTAATGATTTTTTATTCCATAATAATCTGTTCATTCATATAAAAAACTGTTAGGAGATGTTTGACAATTGTTAAATGGTTTGGTGCAGAATGATTAAGTGGTCAGAATGATTAATAGGTTTTCATGATATAGTGCAAAATAAAATATAATTGTTTGGTAATTGTGTACAATGAAATTAGGGCTGTTAATGGTTAAGGGAGATCCATGATACAAAATCATTCAGAGAGTTTTAGAACCATTAAGAGGCAGACTTTTTTTGCCAAACAAGATTCACCTCTTAACGATTCAAAGGTTGCATCTTAATAGAACTATTAAGAGTTAAACAAACAACCTATTACTTCTCCTCAATTCATTCATCGATTCGTTTTCGATAATTCCACTCATGTAAAAGTTTCAATTTTATAATTTATATCTAATGTTTTTTTATTCCATATTCTTTATCTTATGGAGTAATTTATTTTTGATTTATTAATATAATTCTTTATAAAGATGATAATTGAGTATTTTGTTAGAACTCAACGATTATCCTAATTATATTTTAGATTTTTTATATTTAATATGAAATGTTTATCTGTAGTTAGTTACACGAATTGAAACATGAAGCTTTAATAAGTTGTGCTTACACACAGTGTATTTGTAATATTGAATTTGAAGTAATATACATCAATAAATAGTACTGCATGTATAAAAATTGATTTTAAAAAATTTTATCAAATATTTTATAATATAGTATAGATAATAATAAATAAAGTTTACAATAATTCACCTTCTAGATTAAACATAGATGAATGCTAATTATAATTCTTATGTTCTCTTTGATAATTATAGTTCATCAATGATGATCAACATTTTATACTAGGAAAAAATCAATACATTTATGGAAAAAAAATTTATTAGAGTATATGGATGGTTTAGATTGGGTTGTATGAGTTGTACGAATGACACATGCTGTATTTGAAACACCCTATATATATATATAGAGAGAGAGAGAGAGAGAGAGAGAGAAAGAGTTTGTTTCAAATGCAACACATCACATTTTTACAACCAATGCAACCCAATAAATTGAAATATTTATGAAAATGATGAGAGTTCATTTATTATGATTTAAATATTTATGGAAGATGAATATGTTTCATTAATTATGATCAACACTTTATACTAGGAAACAATCAAAACTTTTATGAAATCATAATTAATGAACCATATTCATCTTCCATAAATATTCAAATCATAATAAATGAACTCTCGTCATTTAGATATCTCAATTTATTGTGTTGCATTGGTTGTACAAATGCGATGAGTTGTATTTGAACCAAACTATATATATATATATATATATATATATATATAGAGAGAGAGAGAGAGAGAGGCGCGACCAAATGAAAACCACTCCAATTTGTAAAAACCGTAAAAACTACTCTCATCTATCGTTAATCTTATGAAAAAATTTCATGAAATTGTTAATCTTGTGAAATTGTTTCATATAATACTTTTTTTGATGAAGTTGTTTCATATGTGGTTATGAAATTGTTTCATATACTACTTAATGAAATTTTAATAAAACTGTTTCATGTATTTCTCTAAAATTAAAATAATGAAGATGATAATATCCATGATTAACACCCTTCACAATAAAAATGGTTAATCAACCTCTCATAATTACAAAAAAATAAACAAAATGAAAAATTATGATTGGTTGAATGAGGTTTTCACGGTTTTTACAAATTGAGTGGTTTTTATTTGAACCCACCCCTATATATATATATATATATATATATATATATATATATACACACACACACACACATAGGGGTCTATTCAAGAGAGAACTGATTAGTTTGTGTTAACTGTAAGATTCAATCTCAACCACATATTAACGAATAAATTAGGAAATTAGTAATTTTGGTAATTTGAGTTCAAATTATAATTAGAGAGCATTTTAGATATTTTTAAAAACTCCTCTCTCCTCTCACCTCTCACCTCTCTCCGACCTCGGATCTCCAACCTCCGATGAACATTATTTCAGTAATCATTGTGATACACAATATGATACCCATTGTGGTATCACTGTGATACCATTATGATACCAACCCAAACCTTAAAAACAAAATCAAATCCATAATCTAAATTTAAGAAATACATACCGATCATCCACGTTGTGATACCAAAAATACATACAAGATGCAATGTGATACCCAATGTAGTACCAATTGGGGTACCACTGTGATACCACTCACACCAACCATATTACCACTGTGATACTAAACCTTGATTCTCAAAACCTTAAGCATGTACTTCTTACTTATTTAAGAATTGAAGCAGCAAGGGGTTGTAGAAGATAGATTGCAGCTGTTGGTGGATGGTACTAGTGCATTTAGGCCCGGTGTGCCAACTGCATTGGTGGGGGTAAGTGGTGTTGGTAAGACCACCCTAATGGATGTTTTAGCCGGGAGAAAAACTGGTGAAGTTATAAATGGAAGCATCCATAAAAAAAACCCAACTATTTAGGGTAAATTCACATCAATTAGGTAAATGCGAATTGAATAATTAATGATTTGATTTGTTATAAAAAAAATTGTCAAATTACCTATTTACCCTTTATTTTATTTTAGTAAATAACATTAATTATCTTAAATGATTGGCTCACATTGGATCTCATGGTTACTACAAACTATTTAGTTCTCATTTGATTAGGTTTATATATATATATATATATATATATATATATAGATATAATTATTTGAGAAATCTATGGAATAAATAAAAATTAGGGAATAAATGGAATTATTTTTCAAGACCTTTTACATTGTAAGTGGTTTCATTTGATTTTCATCGTGTATGTATGATTTTTGTTCTTCCCTATGGTTGATATGCATCAAATATATCAAAGGACCTAAATTGTCAATAAACCAAAGTTGGGGATTGTAACTGCAAAATTTGGTCTTTAAAAGGCGGGTGGTGCTTCTCTCCAACAACACATTGCTCTCTTCCCACACCCTCCTTCATTGCTTGCATCAAATAACACGTGAGTTTAACCTTTCCGACACCGTTTATCGACATCTTCTCCGATCAGTCGAGTTTAACTGTTACTGTCTGTAGTTTATAACTCTGCTTCGTTTAATTTACGTCTATTGATTCATAGGAATCATTTTGACCGCTCATGAAAACGTAGAGCAGTTACTTTGTTCTTTAGTTTATATACTTCTTTCGATTTAATTGAGGAATTATTATGTGTATGTACGTACTACATGTATTTATCTATACCGTCAAATGCACACTACAACATAATTGAGTTCATAGGACACCCCCAGTCTTTAATTAAGCATCCCAATAGACCGATTTATAAAACCAATAATTAATATTATTATTATTTCTAAAATATGTATATTAATGTTTATTAATGTTTCAGTTTTCATATAAATTTCTATGTCATGGTTGCAGTGAAACATGGGTACCTCAATCAAAGCAAACGTGCTTGCCTTGTTCTTGTTTTATCTTCTATCACCTACTGTATTTTCGGTCTCCCATGACGGATTGATTCGAATTGGACTTAAAAAGAGGAAGGTGGACCGAATCGACCAACTTCGTGGACGTCGTGCGTTAATGGAAGGAAATGCTCGAAAAGATTTCGGCTTCCGTGGTACGGTTAGGGACTCGGGCAGTACCGTTGTTGCACTAACGAACGATAGGGATACTTCGTATTTTGGTGAGATTGGTATTGGAACTCCACCTCAAAAGTTCACAGTGATTTTCGATACCGGAAGTTCTTATCTATGGGTGCCTTCTTCAAAGTGCATCAATTCAGTTAAGTTTTCGATCTATTTACCAGTTGTTTTACTAAAATAGAGTAGCTGTTGAATTTATATACAATTTCAATCATGTGCAGAAAGCTTGTCGGGCGCACTCAATGTATGAGTCGAGCGGTTCAAGTACCTACAAGGAAAATGGTACGGTCTCGTGTGATTATTTGTCAAGTAACATTTTGGTTAGCAACTTGCGAAATTGCTGCTTTATGAATATTATATTTATAAAAAGTGGATTTCGCAAGTTACTCGTGAAATCGTTACTTCTTGTTTGATGGTAAAAGGTTATTAATTGGTATCATATTTCATCAAGGGACATTTGGCGCTATTCAATATGGAACCGGATCAATCTCGGGTTTTTTTAGCCAAGACTCTGTCACGATCGGTGATCTTGTTGTTAAAGAGCAGGTAAACCATGAGGGCTGTGACGTAGTAGTTGAGGCTTAATAGATGTGGTGGGATATCCTATCTGCTCTGGGCATTTGTTTTTATAGGACAGTTTTTCAAATAGTGTCCTATAAAGTTAAAGAATCACTATCACAAAATCGGGTTTATAGGACACTCCCAAATTCTAAGTATCCTAATATACCTCTTTATAAATTGACCAAATTCGTCGTAATAAGTTTTTTACGACATTTTTAATATAAAGCGTCTCATTATCAACTTTATAGGACATTATTTGAAAAACTGTCCTATAAAAACAAATGTCCTATAAAAAATTGAGTTTATAGGACACTTTCTAAAAAATGTCCTATAAAGTTGTTAATGCAACACTTTGTATTAAAGATGTCCTAAAAAACTTGTTAAGACGCCCAAAATCGTCATATAAACTTATTACAACACCTTTTGGTCCAATAAATTAAGTCCTATAAAACGGTCTATTGGGACGCTTAGAGATTGGAAGTGTCCTATAAACCTAATTTTGTTGTAGTGAATTGTGGTTTTGGATGTATCGAGTTCAACGTTCTCATCACGACTCTCCCTCCTTGTGATGTTTCACTTTCTTCAGGATTTTATAGAGGCAACCGAAGAGGCCGACAATGTTTTCTTGAATAGGTTGTTTGACGGTATACTCGGCCTTTCATTTCAAACGATCTCCGTTCCTGTCTGGTACTTTACTCGCCTCTAGTTACCGAACTGGTTTACGTTTCATACCTTTTTTTGTGTTTTTTTGGGTAACCGTTGGTAGGGATGCTCAAAAATCCGACCAACCCGATCAACCCAACCCAACCCAACGTGAAATAACCCAACCCGAAGCAACCCGATGTCTAATCGAGTGGTAAAATTGTCAAACTGTAGGTATTGGGTTGATATTGGGTTACTATTATTTGAACTCAACCCAACCCAACCCAACCCGATGAACCCGATATTCTTTTATTTCTTGRATTTAATAKGATTGTTGAATTTCTATTAATATATATATACATTAGACAATTACACTATCATGTATGTTTTTCATATATACATATTTTCAATCTATTCATATCTCTATATAACTCATTCATATATATGTTCAGTAACTGTGAACATATATATGTAAATTGAGAAAATTAACTGAATGTGATATACGTAAGAAATATAGATAAGTTGTATCAAATGGTTGACGATGAAAAAGAAATTATGAGTAGATAAATAATATATTCAAGGTTAGAAGAATATTTTAATATATCAAAGTATCAACCCGACCAACCAGTACGGGTTGGGTTAAGATTTTTCCAAACCGCAAGCATTGGGTTGGGTTGTTCAAACATAACGGCTAATACATGCCCTGAGCTTGAGTCACAACCCAAGTGGGTTAGTGAAATGGCTTGTAAACTGAGATATCTGCACATATTATAGGTACAACATGCTTAATCAAGGTCTTGTTAAAGAACGGAGGTTTTCCTTTTGGTTGAATCGCAATGTTGATGAGGAAGAAGGTGGCGAACTYGTGTTTGGTGGGCTTGACCCTAATCATTTTAGGGGTGACCACACTTATGTCCCTGTGACTTATCAGTACTATTGGCAGGTTGGTTACCATGATCTATACTTATGTAATAAATGAAAATTGAGGAACACGTTGGAACCGTTCATCTGGACAGTATACACATGTGCATACAGGTAATTTGATAGCAATTTGCCAAGTATAAACTAAAAAAACAGCTTCAATTACTTATATGCAAATGTGCATATTCAATTTTTCATTCATGGGAATTTCCCCTAAATGTATCCAATGTTCTAAGTCCGCCATTGGTTGCTGAATTTTATTTGTTTTTCTTGTTTGTAGTTTGGAATCGGTGACGTTCTTATTGGAGATAAAAGTACCGGTACTCAGTGTTCCTATTTTTCCTTCTTTTTCTCGGTTACAAAAGGAATTTTTAAGAGTCCCGAATCGGYTGACTTGGATCATTTCATCTTCATACATGTTGGAAGTTGGAACCCCTTTATTTCTTTTAAGGCTCTTTTGGAGAATAATTTAATGGGGTTTCATATATTTTCACATGGTTTCATATTCAATATCTACTACTCAAAGGACCCGACACTGTACTCGTCTAGCCCCTTCTCGACACTCACAGTCGATTAATTTGTGTCCCACCAACCTTGGTTGAAGGGGGCATATTAGAGTGTCATATCAACGAGACGTGGACCATTTCACTTTTATTTTATTGGAACCCTCTTATTTTTTAAGGACACTTTTATAGAGTAATTTAACGAGGTTTTGTGGGATTTCTGATATGAGGGTTTCCATTTCAGGATTTTGCGCCCCTGGTTGTCAAGCATTTGCCGACTCTGGAACCTCTTTGTTGGCGGGTCCAACGGTAACGTGTGAAAAAATTATATGCTTCTATATTATTTCGGATGGGTATCTTATATATGTATTGTGTGCTACCTATCATATATTACTGATCTTAGTGTCCCTTTGGGATTGGATCGAAGGTATCTGGAATTGAATTTCATTTTAGTCTTATGTTTGGTCTGAAGGATTTTTCGGATTTGAAATCTCATAAATATAGGATTTTGAAATCCCGTGGGGATGATTGGTTTTTCACGGGATTTCACGCATCTTACTCAAAACGTCAAAGTCCATTCAATTTGGAAAAGGGGTATTTTATTCCTAATCGACACAATTAACTTTTCCCTGAATCAAACGTTGACTACCCCCACGGCATACCAGTACATATCAATCAGTCAAGGCCACCACTTATGGATTGCATTCCAAAGTCCACATATACAATTTCAGGGTCAAGTGACTTCTACGATTCTGTTACAGAAGTCTAACGTTCCGTAAAAATCACTTTTTTAGGCTATTGTTACTCAAATCAATCATGCAATTGGCGCTAACGGGGTCATGAACCAGCAATGCAAGACAGTGGTTAGTCGTTATGGAAGGGATATAATTGAGATGCTTCGATCTAAGGTACCCGTTATCCTTCACACCCCTGTCTTAGAGCATTTCCAGCAAATTCTTTAAAATTGAGAAAATGGAGATTTTAGGCATATTTTGCTCCAACAGAGATAAGAGAGAAAGAGTGATATTCTCCAAATTTAGAGAATTCCTCAAAAATAATTACAATGAGAGAGAAACATTTTTTATTATATTAACAGCAATAAGAATCCTTACTGTTAAATGTTTATGAGAGATCAATAATATTAGGTACAGATTATTTTGCTTATATTATTAATGTTTTAGTTTCCAAAATAGAGAATCTGTTGGAGATAAATATAAGTACTTTTGGAGATTCTGAGTTTTAGTTCTCCATTTTGGAAAATTTGTTGCAGATACTCTTATGATATATGATAAGCACATAAAATAAGAATCTACATTTCTATTTATGTTTGTTCCAAAATAGATGTCCACTTTCAAAAACAAATTACCAAATTCTCGAATTTACCCTTAATTAATGCACAATTATATAAGAGTTGCAAAGAGAAAAAAAATTAAATGAGGGTAAAGATGTCATTTGGTTAACAAAAACTGTAATAATAATGCATGTCTAAGATTGTGTGTCATTTCAATTATGGACACTTATTTTTGAGACGGAGAGAATATTGTTCAATATTTCTAGAAACATCTTACAACTTAATTGTTTTGGTTATGATATCCTATAGATACAACCTGATAAAATCTGTTCGCACATGAAGTTATGCACTTTTGAYGGTGCTCGCGATGTTAGGTCAGTTTTACGTTGTATGCTATGCACATCTATTTATACCAATAAACTGGTTTTATATCGTTTGATTGTTGATGTCAGATATATAAGCATTGGCTAACTATCATGTTTTGACAGTTCAATCATTGAGAGCGTGGTTGACAAGAATAACGACAAGTCTTCTGGTGGCATACATGATGAGATGTGCACCTTCTGTGAGATGGCTGTCGTTTGGATGCAAAACGAAATCAAACRAAGCGAGACTGAAGATAACATAATCAACTATGCCAACGAGGTGAAGTAACCTCTGCATAAAAACAAATAAGAGCATCTCCAACAGTTTCTTAAAACATAGAAGAAAAAATCAAAATCTTGAAAAATATTTGCATCAAACTCTAACAGTTTTTTCATTTTGAAGATTACAACAGTAATTATATCATTAAAATATTTAATAACAAAAAAAATCATCTGTTCTTTCTCCATTCAATAGAAAATTTCCCTCTCGCTCCTTCTTTCTCTATTTTAAAGAAAGTTTTGAAAAAAACTGTTGGAACTGAAAACACCAAAATTTAATTCTTCTTCATTTTAAGGGGGTATTTGGGATTGCTTATAAAAACAACTTATTGACTTATTACGGTGTGACACTGGTAATAAGCAGTTTTGAGTGTTTGGATAAACAACTTATAATGTTACCAAACCGGTAATAAAGAGTTTTTGAAGAAGTTAAACTCTTTTGACTTATAATAAATTGATAAGTGTTTTTGTAGAAAAAACATAAGTTGTTTCAAATAAACAATCTCAAACACCCCCTAAACAACTCCAATTTTATTTATATATATATATATTACAAGCATTTATTTATTTAAATGCAGTTGTGTGAACACTTATCCACTTCATCTGAAGAACTACAAGTAGATTGCAACACTCTTTCCTCCATGCCCAATGTTTCCTTTACAATTGGTGGCAAAAAATTTGGGCTCACCCCAGAGCAGGTGATAATTTAACACCATTTTAAACATATACATGTCTTTTTTAAGGGTCTGTTTACCACCYGTTTACTGTCTCTTATCGGGTAAGAGGCGYTGACCCTGATCAAAGATGTTACAGTTTACCAACCTCTTTTACCGGCCCATGATACTGACCGAAATGCTTGATCTGGTAAGTTAAAGGAGGGACTCTTAAGGGGTTGTTTACCAAACATTTATCAGGTAAGCGCTTATCGGGTCAATTACCTTACAAGAAGAGCTAGCATACCAGAGATTGGGTAATCTTACCCGGTAAGAATGAGGTAAGAATCGAGAGTCTTACATGGTAAGTGCGGGTGGTGACTCTTACTCGATACGTGCTTAACGGGTGACAAACACTTACCAGCAATTCATTTTGATGGCTTAGTAATGTTATCCGATAAGATAAGTAAGGGTGGTGACTTTTGTCGGTATAGGGTAGGGTTTGGTAAACGCCCCTTTACTCTATCAGTGATTAGTGCCGATCCATACTCTTCTCTTAGTTTTTTACCTGATTAGCATTTATCCAATTTATGTTTGTAAACGACTATGAAGGAATTTAATAATAATGTGAATTAATATTTTATCTTGGAAACCGACTACGAAATTGATCAGTACATCTTGAAAGTCGGTAAGGGAGAAGCAACACAATGCATCAGTGGATTCACTGCGATGGATGCGACTCTTCTTGGACCTCTGTGGTAATTATCTATTCTACTTCAGTAAAAACCTCTTTTTACCCATGTTTTAGAACATTCTTTTACTACATGTTCTCTGTTAGGGTGTGCTTAATGCACGGACTGTATGAAATAAGTCATGTGTCTAACATGACATGGGACAAGAATGAGATGGAACAAGAAATTCATTTTCATTAAGATAAAAATAGTGTTTCTTGTTCCACTCAAAAAGATGGAAAAACGTTGGATTAAAATACAAAATTATTATTTTTGTTAGAAAATTACGAAGTGAAGGTAATAAGTGAATTGGATGATCACTTATGGGCCGTTTACAAAACGCTTACCCGATAATTGCTTATCGGGTAATTTTTCTTACCGATGAACATGACAAGAGTAAAAAATCTTACCCGGTAAGAACAATGATAAAGATGGAGAGTTCTTACTCGGTAAGTGATAGTGAAGACTCTTACCCGGGTAAGTGCTTACCGGGTAAATTGTTGCATACGATACCATTTTGATGTACTACAATCTTACCCAGTAAAATAAATTATAGTGTTAACTCTTAACGTAAGCGTTTACCGGGTAAGCATTTAGGTAAACGGCCCCTTAGATCACGGAAAGCTCACTTTCTGAATACAATAATTCAACCCTTGTTTTCTAGGATATCAAGAAATTAGTATCGGAAAAATCCAAATGAATACTCTGATCTTTAAGGCTGTAAGATATATTCCTTATATATACCTGGATTCTTGTTCACATATTTATATGAGAGATCGACGGTTACGAGCGGTTAAAATGGTTAAGACATAAGTACACAAACATTTATAACCGTTAACAGATAAGATTAGAAGACAGTTTTACACATGCTTATGAACTACACTTGGTCATTTTCACCAAGTTTTAACATTATTTCTAGAAGGTTCCCAACCTTCTGAAATATGTTCAAAACGTCCCAGAACTTAAAATTCTTAAGCAAATCTCTTCTTAAAATTTGCAGAGGTCTCAAGTCTCAAGGGGGGCCTCTGTCGACCCCGCTCGCTGAATGGTTAGTGGGACCACCGCCAAGGGCACTGCCCCTAGGACCTGGGAGTGACTCCCGCCTTAGAGCGATTTAAGGTGATAAGTGGCAACATTTGTGAGTGTGCATTCCACACCTCTTAACTCACTTATGTTTGCCTTATCAGTAGGTCGATCGATCCCACATAAATCACAATCACACTAAAATCACCAACAATTTTACCCTCCTAACATAATAAAATCTAAAACTACACTTGTGCTTCCGATCAGAAATTATATAGTAATTTTTTTAGACGATCTTTTTACGCTTAGTATTGTGGGTATTTTAATGCAGGATCCTCGGAGATGTTTTCATGCGTCCATATCACACAGTGTTTGATTATGGCAATTTACTAGTTGGATTTGCAGAAGCAGCTTGAGATATGATATGCCATGATCATCCTTCTGCCAGTCGGATTTACTCTGTTTATGCTAAATCTGTGTTTTTGTGAATTCCCATCCTACCAGAATAAAATGGTCCAATAAATTTATGACGTTTTTATTACCCTAAATTTGTCGGTATCTGATGAAAGCTGATGTTGTTTTGCTCTTTACCTTATGCGTGACACCACTATCGGCTCCATTGTCATTCAATCCGCCTCTTAAATTTAGAAAATCAGTTGTCAAAGGTCGAAATTGAGAATATAAGTACCGAAAACATTACAGTATAATGAAAATATTATCATTGAAGGTAGGTGTGCACAAAAACCAACAAAACCGTCAACCCATCCAATCCAACCCGAAGTTGTGAACTATTGAAACAATCCAAAAATTAATCTATTTGAAGATACATATGTAAACTGACATTACAGATTATTCATATAAGTTCATATATACATCTTCAAATTGATTTTTTCAATTATTCACATATAACCTATAATTTAATATTATATTCTCACGATAATTAGCCTTCTTAAACATTCCGCTATATGTATATATTGATCATATATAGAGGGGCATTCTTTTAATAACTTCTTAATTAGGGGTTGTTTACCTAAATACTTACTCGGTAAGTACTTAACATTAGAAGTCAACACTATGATTTATTTTATTGGGTAAGATTGTATTACATCAAAACGTATCCTATGCAACAAGTTACCTGGTAAGCACTTACCCGGGTAAAAGTCATCACCCTCACTTACTGGGTAAGACTCTCCATTCTTATCATCGCTCTTACCGGGTAAGATTCTTGGCACTTGTCATGTTTATCTGGTGAGAAAAATTACTTGTTTACCAGCGTTTAGTAAACGGCCATTATCTATTGATTTTTTACCTTAAAATTTGAATAGATAAAGATAAATCTCAATGAAAACCTCTAATTAGTTCTATCTTTTAACTTTGATATATATATATATATATATATATGTATGTATTTATAAAAATTAAAATAAAAGTTTAAAGTTATATTGATTCATATGTAAAAAAATTAGAAATTAATAAAAATAAGAGTTTTAATTACACTAATTGTTATGTAAAAATTTGAAAGATAAATAAAAAAATGTTAAAATAATAAGTTTTTTTTTTAAGGCAAAAAAGGAAGGACAATGAGGAGAGCTACGGCATGGTCATCACCCTCACCAAGACAATCAATATATTAAACAACAGATCTAGCAAGAAGCTAGACACAAGAGGATACAAAAATCCACCACAACAAGCGAGAACAAAAAGAAACAAAAACTAAACATCCCCAGACAAAGGCCAAAGCAAAACCCAAACCTAAGACAAGCAAAGAGACTAAACAAGGTAAGGAGAAGAAGACCAACTATCCCAATTAAGATGGAACTTACGATTCATGTTCCCCATCCAAAGCTTGGATAAATTTTGAACACAAGGGAATGGGTCTTCACCTCTCTTCTTAGTTTCCGCACCATCCTCAGCATGAAAAATTTCATTCCGCCACTTCCAAAGTTGCCAAAGCGCCACAGCGCACACTGATAAGAAAGTCACTCCAACCTTTCGATGAGTACCTACTTGTTTGATCAGCATTTTAAAATCAGACACCGAGGATAGACGCGGGGCTTTAAGATCCCACCAAGCCCATATTTTCCTCCATAGAATGCTTGACACCGAACAAGAGAAGAAACAATGGTCAATAGTTTCAACACCTTTGCCACAAAAGATGCACTCCAAAGATTTAATAAAAATAAAAGTGCTAATTATATTAATTGTTATGTAAAAAATTGAGAGATAAATAAAAAATAATGTTAAAATGATATAATTATATAATTATTGATAAATAAAAATGAAATTTCAGAGATTGGTATGTAGTTTAAAATAAGAATGAAAGTTTTTAGATTAATTATATTGTTGGTTTTATGACTACCACTCATTATCAAGTCTCGTCCTTATTTTGAACTGATTACACTTTAATCAATTTGGTTGGCAGTTTGTTTCGCTTTTGGTCCTTGTAGGTAACAACCGTTAATAAGGTTCGTTAACTCTGGAGATTTTTTGGTTTTTGAATAATCCATTTAGGGGTGTTTGGGATTGCTTATAAAGGCTGTTTTTTAACTTATTTCAGTCTGGCACCGGTGATAAGCTGTTTTTTGGTGCCTGGATAAGAAAAAAAACTGTTTATACCGGTGTCAAACCAGTAATAAGCTGTTTTTGATAAGTTAATCCTTCATGACTTATGAAAAACTGCTTATTACCAGTTTACAATTTTATCTCTGTTTTATTTAACTCCGATTTGATACCACATAAGTTAATAAGCACTTTTATAAAAAAGCATAAGTTGTTTTAAATTAGCAATCCCAAACACCCCCTTAATATTTTACAGTAATATTTTTAAAGAGTTCTTTAAGTTTAAAGAATTTCACCCTCTTTATATGCTAATTTTTTTGTTAAAAAAAACTTGTTTAAAATCTCTAGATTTTTTATTTAAAAAAAGGAAAAATCTAAAAAAATCAATGAACTTTAGTGTTTGGAATGATTAAGTCCTTGGATAATTTTTTAGAACAAATAAGTTCTTGGATATTCCAAAATTTGTTTAACAATTCCTTGGACTTTCTAAACCCCGTTAGATACATCCTTATGACCTATACAACTGGTTAATGTGATAAAATAATTGAAAAAACATGAAAAAAAGCCAATGGGCATTTATATTTTGAGGCATAAAGTCTCTAAACATTTTTTGAACAAAAAAAAATTCTTACATTATATAAAATAAAACAAATATAATAAAATATACTTACATTTAAAAAAGATTATTGATGAAATTTTTTTTAATTAAAAATAAAAGATATTATGTCAGTGATTTTT